GACTTTCTGGACAGTCCACATCTATCTATCTATCTATCTAGACATATATATATATGTATATATATATATTGCTTTGTTATTTTTTTTAAGATTTTATTTATTTTTTAGAGAGGGGAAGGGAAGGAAAAAGAGAGGGAGAGAAACGTTAATCGTTGCCTCTCGCATGCCCCCCACTGGGGACCAGGCCCACAACCCAGGCACGTGCCCGGATTGGGAATCGAGGCGGCAACCTTTGGTTTGCGGACCCTCGCTCAATCCACTGAGCCACATTAGCCCTCTCTATATATACATAGCCGTCTATGTATATATATTTTTTTTCTGAGAAAGAGAAACATCAATTTTTTGTTCCACTTATTTATAGATTCTTTGGTTGATTCTAGCATGTGCTCTGACCAGAGAGATTGAACCCGCAACCTTGGTGCATGGAGATGACACTCCAACCGAGCTATCCAGCTAGGGCTCCAGCTAATATGCTTTATGTCAGTCTAATTCGTAGGCCCAGTTGAACACTCTAAGGGAGAGGTAAAAACTTGCCTCCCCTATAATAACTACACGGTAACCCTCCAAAGTTGGAACTGTAAGGAAGATAGTGTTCCTTCTGCTTGAGTAAGGGCATCAAGTTTCCTAGAGCAGACAAGGCAAGAATATTGGTGTTGGATGGGGTGACAAGACCCTTTGGTGGCTTCTCACTTTTAAGAATGGGGTTGACGTGGTGCAATTGTTACGAGGGCAGTTTATTGAAAGTTACAAGTTTACCTTTTACAGTGGTAATCATGGGAGATGTCTGTAGTCTTCCATTTACTTAAAAATAGAGATGTGCACAGGCTGTGTTTCCATGAAAAAAGCTGACTTTTTTAAAATTTTATTTTAAAAAAGCTGACTTTTTAAAGCACCCACTGGTTCTGCAGATACCGAGAAATAAGCTGGTGTAAACACTTGGAAATATGAATTAGCAGCAGGCTGAGGGCTTTCTAAACTGGAGCTGATAAGTAAGCTTCAAGGACTGGCAGCACTCACAGGCCACATACACCACTTGATAAAGCCTCTGGGCAGGGTGTTGGGAGTCTCTGAACACATCTAGTTGTGCAAAGTAAAGTGATGGAGGAATCTGTGCTCGATCTGAAAAGTCGGCAGTTAAGGGTCACAACTTTTCGTTGCCTTTCTGACATTTCAGGTTACTTATTTGCGATTGGTCACATTTTTAGATGGATCAACTCACTTGTCCAATTTGTATTTATTTAGAACCCAGGAATGAGAGTGAGCATGTCCTCTCTGGGCTTGTGTAAGCGTACATAAACCGAGATTTTCCAATGTCGAGCCCTGAGCTTTAGCCCAACCACCCTCACTCATTTAATCCCAACACCGCCCCTTGGATGTAGCTATCAGCACCTCTGTGGTATGGAGGAGAAAACGGAGGCCCAAGGACATTAAGGAACTCGATCCAGGTCACTTAGCAAATAACTTGTGCAGCCAGAATTTTAATCTAGGGAGGGCCCTAATAACCAGTTTAGACTTTATTGTGCAGACAATAATACTGTAATATTGAAATTCTGTAGATCTATAGACCTTTTTGGTTCTCAAACTGGGAAATGACTCTATTGAAATGAACAGAAGGAAGAGCTGTCTGGTGGCACAATACAGGATTCACAGGCAGAGGAAAGAACTGGACTGCAGAGAGACCAGATAGAAGGTTGTGGTAGCAATGCAGGCCTGGAGATGGAGTTACTAGAGTTTGGAACTAAAAAACCTGGTTCCCGCCTGTCTCTACCATGATGCTGCTAACTGGGGAGACTTGGGCAAATTACAGCCACATCTGGAAGCCTCCTTACTCCTCCCTAAATAATGGGTTGATAAATCAAGACAATGAAATCTCTTGGTTCCTTCAAATTCTAAAATTCTGCCTGATGTCTTTAAATTTTAATGCGTCCTAAAGATTTATATATGAAGGCCTTCAATATCACCCACAATCCAGAAAAGAATTTAGATGTTATAATTCTTAATGTAGTATTCTTTTAAAAGTACAAAAGAGTAGAACTGTTTTTAAGAATGCTTTCTAAACCAGACAAGCCAACTGCTTCTGCATCATCCTGTTTCTTTGTTTAAGAAAATGATTTGGAGCCTTAGCTGGCATAGCTCAGTGGATTGAACACAGGCTGCGAACCAAAGTGTCGCAGGTTTGATTCCCAGTCAGGGTACATGCCTGGGTTGCAGGCCATGACCCCCAGCAACTGCACATTGATGTTCCTCTCTCTCTTTCTCCCTCCCTTCCCTCTCTAAAAATAAATAAATAAAATCTTATTAAAAAAAAGAATATCCCTCTATAAAGTTTAAAAAAAAAAGGAAAATGATCTGGGTATTGCTGTTGTGGCAGTCATTGATGAATCAAATAGGAGTATGACTCTTGAAACAAATGAAATGATTTAAGCCTATCTCTAAGAAATGTTATGAAAATATACCTAGGAGGCACAAATTGTATTAATGTCATATTAATTTGTTTTCTGAGCTCAAATTTAATTTAAAATGTGACATTTCTTTAAATGGTTCAATCAACAGATTTTAAAGGAATTTTAGAGGGTGAACACAGGAAATAAATACAGTAATGTTGGAGCAAGTAATCAACAAAGCAGATCTGTGTTCTGTGGCTTCTGATGCTTCTAGAAAGTATTTTTAACAACTCTCTGAGGAATTGGCTCTTGCTGGTGTGAAGCCAGGCTCTTCTCTCGGCTCACATCTGCCAACTTTTCTCCATCCTCATGTCCTATAACAAATCCATTTCCAAGCTCTGCTGAGCCCTTGGTTTCAGTGTTTCTTTTCTCATCTACAAAGACTTGGGGGTGGGATTCTCATTCTGGCGTTGCAGAAATGGACTTCTCAGAATAACCCAAAAGGCAAAGTAATCTTCCTGAAATAAAGCTTTCGTCAAGCCATTTCTATTATTAAAATCATTTGGGATCCCTTTGCTTTTAGGATAAAATCTAAATTCTGCAATAGAGATCCCCATTCTTTCAGCCAAGTGAATGCATTCGATTTCCTTAGACTTTAATCCTTCACATCTGAGATTCTCCTCCTCAGAAATCTCTTTCTTTCAGCCAGCTCAAGACCAGCACCTCCTTCACTCTACCTTGAAACTTGTTTCCTTAGGGTTGTTTTTCTGTTTTAGTAGCTACTTAGCAAATAAACTTCTGCTTTTAAGCTTTTAATCACATTAAATGCTTCTAAGATAAACTATACAAATCTAGGGGTAAACAACTTACAGGTTTCATTCTTTAAGAAACCACCCACCAATAAACTAGGGGAAAAAAGGGGAAAGAAAAAGGAAAGAAACCACCCAGTCAAAACGTCATCATAGATGCATATAAGAGACTGACAGTTGTCAGAGGTGGGGGAGGTTGGGGGGTTGGATGAAAAAGGTGAAGAGATTAAGAAAAAAAATACAGACACAGACAATAGTACGGTGATTGCCAGAGGGAAAGTGGGGTGGGGGTGGGCAAATGGGGGATAAATGGTGCTGGAAAGAGACTTTACTTTGGGTGGTGAGCACGCGATGCAGTGTGTAGATGATATTACTGAGTTGTACTCTTGAAACCTGTATGGTTTTATTAACCTATCTCACCCACATAAATTCAATTAAAACAGCAAGAAATTTTTTAAAAATCCAGTGGTTTTCTTTCTTTCTTTTTTTTAACATTGCGATAGAGAGCACTCCAATTTTTAGCTGTCTTGATTTTTCGCTAGGAAACCATACTAGACCTAGGACAAACCGACTCTTTTTGGTGACCTCTAGTGGGCACGAGACAATCCTACAAAATCACGAAAAGTAAAAAACCTTTCTCAGTAACCAGTCGGGTTACTCTCAGGTCAGATGACCACATCCCACCCATCTCCACCCTTATTTTTTCTTCCAGTATTTGTTTTGGATTTAACATAGTTTTACGTTAAGACTCACCTGCTTCACCTCTGCGCGGGCTTGGCTGCCGGTGTCAGATATGTGAATTGCTAGTAGCATTTTAAAATGTAACTGCCAAGTGGAACCCACTGCCTGGGCATTGACTACAGGAGAGCGCAGGGCAGTTCGCTCTGCGGAGTCTTAAGGGGCTCTTAAAGCTCCGAGGACCGGTGCTGCAGCCAGCTTGGGGGCGCACGGCGGCAATCAGGACTTTAAGAAAAGGAGGATGCAGACGAAGGCAACGAGCAATTCTTGCTAGTGGCAAGGTGATGCTCCCCAGACTTTTACCCCACTCTGGAAGAGAAGTCAGGATAGGGTCCAGGCGCACTACCCGTAGGCTCCGTCTTGGGACCGGTGTCCCAGAAAGCGGGAGCTGGTGCCGCTCTCCTCCTCGGGAGGTTAGCCCTGAGGTTGGGTGCTGGGGTGTGTGGCTGCCTTCGGAGCACGCGGTACGTTATCTCCGCGCCGGGAAAGGAAGAGCAAAGTCGGCACGAAAAGCAGTTGCTGGGGTGCCTTCTCTGAGAAATCCTTTGGGCGGTCTCAGAAACCGAGCTGGGTTCTGAATAGTTTCTGGAAAAAGCTCTCCAAACGCCCTCTGTCCCCGCCCCTCAAATCCTGCACCCCAGTCCTCAATCCTCCCCACCACATTGTCGCCTCTTTGGGGGCTGTTAAAAGCTCCCTTTGGGGGCTGCCCAGGTCATCCTGATGGCCCGGGGCGGGACGCTAGAGCAGGCTCCCCCCGGCAATCCCGGGGTTCCCCGCTTCAAACCTCCGCGCCCCGCGGACCCCTTTCGGCCACGGCGGGAGCGGAGGGGGAGGACGGCATCACGAGGCGGGGAGCCCGAGGTCCAGGGCGGGGCGCCGGGGAATCCCAGCCAGAGCGAGCCCGAGAGGTGCGGGCGGGAAGAGGAGGGCGGCGCGCGTTGGGAGGTGAGCCGAGCTGAGCCGGGAGGCGAGGAGGCCCCGCCCCCGCCTCTCCGAGCTGGCTCTTTGCAGCCTCCCAAACCGCTCACTTTGCTTCTTGCCTCTGGACGGCGGTGGGGCGGTTGCCACATCCGCGGCCGGAGGGAAAGCTGGGGACCAGGAGCCATCCCGCACCAGCTTCCTCTCTTGGCGCCCGCGCCCCTCAGAGGGAACAGCGCCCGGCCTTGGAGGGGGCACCCCGCGGGCGCAAGGGGCGGCGGCGCTGACAGCCTCAGTCTCCGCCAGTGGGGTGCAGAGCTGGCGCCGGAGGGGACTCCCTGGACACCTGCAGGTACCGCCGCGCGGAGGAAGTGTCTCTAGGAGCGACGCTGGGCTGCCGAGGAGGCTAGAGCCTAGGGATCCCCGGGCCAGAGAAGGGCAGAATCGGAGCTCGGAGGCAGAGTGGGCCAGACAGCCCGCGGGCCCCGACGGTGCGCTCCGGGATCGGCCAACATCGGGCAGATCCTGCTGGGCTAGGGGGCCGTGGCGCCTTCGGGCCTCGGGGCCGCAGGGCCTCGGGGCGGTCAACCATGACCTTCGGGCGCAGCGGGGCGGCCTCGGTGGTACTGAATGTGGGCGGCGCCCGGTACTCCCTGTCCCGGGAGCTGCTGAAGGACTTCCCGCTGCGCCGTGTGAGCCGGCTGCACGGCTGCCGCTCGGAGCGCGATGTGCTCGAGGTGTGCGACGACTACGACCGCGAGCGCAACGAGTACTTCTTCGACCGGCACTCGGAGGCCTTCGGCTTCATCCTACTCTACGTGCGCGGCCACGGCAAGCTGCGCTTCGCGCCGCGAATGTGCGAGCTCTCCTTCTACAACGAGATGATCTACTGGGGCCTGGAGGGCGCACACCTCGAGTACTGCTGCCAGCGCCGCCTCGACGACCGCATGTCCGACACCTACACCTTCTACTCCGCAGACGAGCCGGGCCGCGACGAGGCGCGACCCGGCGGTGCGGAGGCAGCCCCCACCAGGCGTTGGTTGGAGCGCATGCGGCGCACCTTCGAGGAGCCCACGTCGTCGCTGGCCGCGCAGATCCTGGCCAGCGTGTCGGTGGTGTTTGTGATCGTGTCCATGGTGGTGTTGTGCGCTAGCACACTGCCAGACTGGCGCGCCGCAGCAGCCGACAACCGCAGCCTGGATGACCGGAGCAGGTACTCCGCCATCCCTGGGAGGGAACCCTCCGGGTAGGACGCACTGCTTCTTTGCCCGTCGCGTCCGTCCTGTCACGTCCTTTCGTCCAGTCCGTCGGTTCCGTCTCTGTCCTGTAAGCCTCTGGGCGGCCGAGTCAGTCTGGGTTTGGGGTCCACGAAGCCCCAGGCACGGCCAGCAAGGGACGGTTGGTGCTCACTCCCCACCCCTATTTCCCCGACACTAGTCGGCTCTGGCCCAGACACAAAACACCTCTCTTGTGGGCCAATCGCTGGGCATGGGGAAGGGCAGATAATAGTTTACTTTGGAGCACTTAGCAACCGGTTAATTAGATTTTTCTTAACTTTTATTGGTAGTATTCAACAATCTAAAATTGAGCTAAGAGCAGTTTGAATAATTTGCCAGTTTTTGGTGGTTCTGAAAAGACAAAGTCTTTCTATTGTGAATGTGGTGTACTATACACTGCTTACACAGTCTATACACTCTGTATAATACGTATTGTAATGGAATTGTTATATAGAGCATTAACTTAACGATAGACTCTAGATAATAGGTGTCTGTGCTCGATTCTATCCTTTCCTACAAAGTATGGGGTTAGCAAAGCACCTGCCCACTGTTTAGTACCAAAGATTCACACTGTAGCATTCAGAAGGATCTTTAGTGTGGGGAGGGAAAAAAAACATTACCTTGGTAGAAGAGAAAAATCTAAACTGCCCTAAATCTAGGGACAGTATTTGAGTAGTTAATTTTTTTTCACTTTAGGATGAAAAGAAAATATTTAAATCTTTCCTTAGATCATTTTTACCTCGGTAAATTTGGACTTTCAAGGCAGACAGCCTGTTTGGGCACAAATATAAAATTACATATTTTGTTTTACCTTTGATACTGTGTTAAGATTACCCTTCATTCATTTTTTTTTAATTTAGCTTGCTCCAGGTAATCTTTTCCTGATAAGCATGCATATGTTTCTAATGGTGTTACCTGCCTTGATACTACAGTGGGTTTCTCCACTTGATATTCTTCCTTTGGAGAGTAAAGATTTTTGTATAAATATGAGAAGTAAATGCAATTGCCTAGTACCGTGGAGTCCACTACTGATAGGACGTCTTGGCATGAGCTCCAAGATATGTGCTTTGGAAGAAAATTCATTAGGAGACTAATATTGTTTAATGTATAAAGTTTTGAGTTTTCAAATTACCAATAAAAATTACTTATTTGGTACTGCAACAACAGTACAATGAAATTAATTTATATACCTAAATACATAAGTGCCCTTGATTCTCTTAGAGGACTATAGGAAAATGATTGGCCTTGAATGATTCACTAGTAATTGTAGAATTCTAAGGTTAGTGAAGGTTGAGGCTACATTAGGAAAGGAAGTGGAAGAATTGAGTTACTAGTACAAATATTTAGGGAGTTGGCTAAATCAGTATATAAGCAAAAACAGTCAAATAAGCTGAATAAAATTGGGGGGGTTGGGGAGGAGGGGAGGGCAGTCTGGAGATCATTAATGTATAGCACTCGGAAAGAAATGGGAAACAAGAATAATAATTTTAGGGAGGGGGGAGAGAGAGAGAAACCAAAAAGGGGAGAGACAGATGGAAAAGAGGAAGACTGCAAAAGAAGTGAAGGAAGAAGATAAGAGTAATGCTTAATTTGTGTATATGTGTTTTATGTATGTATATAATTATTCAAGTCACAACTGTTTCCTAGATACGCAGATATTTCAGGCAAAAGCGTCCTTTTCTTGGCTTAATGGCCCAGTTTTAAGCTTCACTCTGATGGCATATGAAAATCAATGTCTGTTATCCCAAACAGATAAATTGAAGGGTGACTGACTGAAGGACTTTGGAGGCTGCACGTTATAGAGGAAGTCCCCCCTCCCACCCCCCCGCAGGCCTCCCGCACCCCCCAGGGCCCCTCAGCTGGCACTTCTGGTTTCATCTCTCAACCCCTGCTTGCTTATGGTTGCTGCAATTAGCATTTCTGAAACATCATTTTGATCGTTGATCATACTTGTTACCTGCCAAGTAAAGTCAAAACTTCTCTCTTGGCCTTCGAGGCTCTTGATGCCAAAGTTTGCCTTTCTTAACTTAGCCCTTTGTAATTTGCAAGCATGTTTTGAGTATCTGCTGTGTTCAAGGCACTGTTGGTGCGCCAAATATTGTACCGTTGTTTTTTTTTTTGGTGAAGAAAAGGTGTCAACTTGGTGATGCAGAAATCAGATGTATAACTGATCAACAATGTGAGTTGAGCTTTCTGAGAAGGTCTTGAAGGTGTGTAGGAGGATGGAAACAAGCCATCTTTGGAAGATTACAGAGGTTGTACACTGGCAGAGGGTATCATTTATATAAACTATAGTGTTCACAACCTGTACAACCACGTGTGCCCCACCTGGAGAATTTTTCCAGGTAAAAGAAATCGCATGGTCATAGGCTTGATATCTGGATATTATATTGAGTGGGTGTGAGTCTGGTGATGGCGTATGAGAGGTGGATGGAGAGAAAATGTTAGAAGGCCTGGAATGAAGGGCCTTTGCAAGCTGTAATTGGCCATCGGTGGGTTTGGGATGAGTGGAGTATAAAGTGGGGTGAGTGACATATAAAGTAATGTCATTCATGGGTTGTGCACTGTGGATTGGAGATGGGAGAGATTGGAAACAGGAAGATGAGTTTAGAGATCTCTCCATAAGGAGGGAATGAGAGCTTGGATTGCTCTGAGGTGGTGAGAATGGAGAAGAAATAACAACTCTGGGAGATATGAGTAAGAATCAAAATTAATCCAGGGCACTGGAAGCATGCAGGCTTGGGAACTGATAAGTAGACCGCCAGGGGCTAGGAGCACTTCCGCCACCTGGAGGCTCGTTTGTCCAGACGGGCCACACCATCCCTCTGTGCCTTCCCTTGCCTACTGAAACAGATCGTACATCAGGCCCAACTCAGATTCTGTTTCTCTTTTGAAACCTTTTCTGATTACACTAGTAAATGTGAGTTTCCTCTTGAATTTCCTGAGGGATTGCTTACTTGTGATACTTATTTGGCATCTGTAATATCCTTCCTAGCATGGTCATTATTTTTTCATATAAACACGTCCTAGCTTCTAAACTAGATGAGTTGAAAAGCCCGAGAAGGCAGCTAAATTCTGTTATACTATTTATTATGATAGCATCTTCTAGAAAAAAATGATTATTCTGGCACAATAAATATCTACGGTGTATTTTACATTTCAGAATATAATCTCCCAGGAATATATCTTCTCTTGCAGAGGTTGAAGAGCTGTGTGGGTAAGGCTGTGGTGTTCAGGTGGCAGAACTCTCAGCTGAGGAGGACAGGCCCCTGTGCTAGAGCGAGAAAAATGTCTATTGACTCAAGAAATAATTATTTAAGAAGAACAAACTTACTGTGCAAAAGGAATAAGGATAAGAGTATCCTTATCCTTTTTGTTGACCTGGAATGATGCACAATCTGAAGTTTGGAAGAAATCTAGAGAGGTTTCTAAATCAGTAATTTGAAAACTTTTGTGTATGGATATGATCTTTCAAATTGATTTGTTTTAGATGGTTAATGATCATATAAATGATAGTTTCAAGTCCAAAAGCTACAAAAGCAAGCCTTTCTCCATTATCCAATCATTCAGTTCTTTTCCTTAGATGTAAGCAAAGTTATAGTATTTTCTGTCATTTCAAAGACACTTTATATATTTACAAAGCATACCATACATATTTTCAAAAACAAAAAACAGTGTGATAATACTGTCCTGAAACTTGATTTATTAACTTACCAACATGTCATGGAGATTGTTCCACATGGGTCTATAAAGAGCTTTTGATTCTTTTACACAGCTGCATAATATTCCCTTGCATAGAATAACTTCTGGACATTTATATTGTTTCTTATCTGTAGGATATGTTTTAATGAGTATCCTTATGCATATGCGTTATTTTGCTTTTATTAAAGTATATCCATAAGCTAAATTCCTGAAAATTAAGTCATAGGGCAGGGTACTTTTAATTTTTATAGATAATTCCAAATTACTCTCCAAAAAAGGTTATATCAGTTTACACCCCCACCAGCAATGTATGAGAGAGCATGTTTCTTCATAATCTACAAATGTTAATTGTACTTTATATCTTTATCATGCTGAAAGGTGAAAAATGATATCTAGTAGCTTTAATTTATTTTTATTTTGAATAAAACTATTCATCTTAACATATACTTTGGAGTTCTTTATCTTACTTTTTGATGAGCTATTTTACCTTTTGCTCATTTTTGTCAATGACTTTTGTAGTTTGAACTTTTTTTTAAAGATTTTATTTATTTATTTTGAGACGGGAAAGGAGGGAGAAACAAGAGGGAGAGAAACATTGCGTGGTTGCTTCTCATACACCCCTTACTGGGGGCCTGGCCCGCAACCCAGGCATGTGCTGATTGGAAGTCAAACCAGCAACCCTTTGGTTCACAGGCCAGTGTTCAATCCACTGAGCCACACCAGCCAGACCAGTTTGAAGACTTTTAAAAAAATAATTATTTATTTATTTTTAGAGAGGGAAAGGAGGGAGAAAAAAGTCAGTCTGTGGCTGCCTCGCACATGCCCCCTACTGGGGACCTGGCCTGAAACCGAGGCATGTGCCCTGACTGGGAATGGAACCGGTGACCCTTTGGTTCACAGGTAGCACTGAATCCATTGAGCCACACCAGCCAGGACCAGTTTGAAGATTTTTTTTAAATGTTAAGAAATTAGCCCTTTGTTTATGATATGAATTACAAATATTTTGTTCTCTAATTTAGGACCCCACTAAAAGAAATCCTAGGACATAGTAGCTGTACCTTTAATATCTATTTATTGTGAAAAAGTACATGATTAAAGAATAATTGTGAATTCTAACCATTTGTCAACCAGTGTCTGACTCCTGGCAATCACCATGCCAGGCACTGTGGATGTGGAGGTACATAAGACCAGGGTCTCATGGAGCTGGTGGACGAGTGGGGTAGCAAGAGGGTGGACAAACAGCAAAGTTAGCAAGTAAATCAGAATT